ATAGCAGCAAGCAGAAGATAACACTCTGCTCCATCCCTCAACAACGATTCAGCTTGACCAGCTGAATCAACAGCTCCTCTTCTAGCAGTAAGCATATGGTGAGTACCTCTCCACCAATGCTCAGCCTCCCTAACCAACATGTAGACAGCATATGTCAGCCTCCTCTCTTGAGAACATCCCAACACATTGAAGATCTTCTCCAGCTCACAGATCCAGTGGTCAGCTACCTCTGGGTCTGGATCTCCCTTAAACTGTGGAGGACGGCATTTCTGAAACTCAGCTAGATCCCGGCTCTCCTGCGACCCCACGGGCCTTGCTGCACCAGCTGCAGCTCTATCAGCGTCCATCTTAACAAAATAAACATTTTGCTACTGCATAGCCATAGCCATCATCTCCATGGCACGGGCTATCCGCTCATTGGTTCTAGTCATTGTCTATAGAAGTAACAACATCTTCAGTATACAATAACTAAACCAAACAACCATCAACAACACAGCAAAACACCACAACAATCAACACAACAAGACAACACAACACAGAGTTCAGCACAACAAAAGCCTAAAGGAACCACCCCCAAAGAGTGTCCACTAGACTCGAACTGCTCTGATACCACTAAAGTGTAACGACCCGACTAGTCACTACACACTACACTGTACACCTGAAACCGGACAGAAAGGAACAAGTGTATACATATAGTGTCTAGAATATACATATATACATGTCCAAGTCTGACTAGATTCAAAATGTACAAAAATACATTCAAAGCTACTACACCAAGTAGCTGAAACAACAAAACATCAACAAGGATCTCCCCCGCCCGCCAGCTGCAGACTCACCACTAGCCACCAACCTATCCCTGCTCTGCTCCCATACATAGTATGATCATCGCAGTCCAAACCACATGGAAACAACAAAGGGTAAGCTAGTGTAAAGAAATCGACATACATGCATAAATATGTAAATAAAAGCATCTACAGCTATCAGCACACCCATATAGCTTATACTACACCACAGCAAATTCAGCAATATCAGCACCGCTCAGCGGCTATAACAACACCACAATAATGGCTAACAGCATCGACATAGCGGCTATAACAGCATCACAATAGTAGCTAACAGCACCGACATAGCGGCTATAACAGCACCACAATAGTGGCTAAACACAGCATACAACTCAGCAATAAACAGCACAGCAAAATAGCTCACAGTACAGCACAACAAAATCAGCATACAGCTCAGCTAAGTAGTATTCAACACAGCTTACTACTCACAACTCAACTCATCATTCTAGAGCACAACCATATTATAAATTAGCATTTAAAATCATCAATAACAGCCCAGCTCAGCATAGCGATATACATCTATTACAGCTTAACATCATTTTTTTAGCATTTACACCTAGTCAGCATAACATATTTACCAATTATATCTCAGCTCAGCAATTACAGCATAATTCAACAACTATCAGCATATCATTCAGCTCGACTCAAACAATAAGGTTCAGCATTAACATCACACAGCACAACACAACTTTTCATCACACAACATTGGCAGCGTTAATCAGCATAAAACCATATTATCAGCAAATTCAGCATATATATAACTTCACATCCTCATACGCGCCCGGCGCACTCATGGTCGCGCCCGGCGTGGCACAACCAGAGGGCTCCAGGGCCAGCGCGCCCGACGCAATTCTCAACCAGAGACCTACAAAGGTTTATTGCGCCCAGCGTGGTTCTCCCCGTGCCCGACACGATTCACCCAGAGATTTCCCATTTCAAATCACGCCTGGCGCGAAGAACTGCGCCCGACGCAAATTCAAACATGAACCCTTACCTACTTCAAAAATTTCATCAAAACCTGCGAAAAATACTAGGAAACCAACATGCAAACCATCCAAAAGTTTACACTTCCATCAAACATCAAGAAAAACAGCTCATTTTCAACATGCATCCAAAATCAAGGGAAAACCCCAAAATTTCACCCAACCCTGAAAAACCCCGAAAACTAGTTTTTCTTAAATCTCAGCCAAAGATCAACCACCAACAAACAGCAAATGAGTTTCTAAGACTCATTCTCAACCAAAAACAGCAAAGTAACTAGCTTCCCTTACCTCGGTGTGAAGAAAAACCGAGCTCCGGGACAGCGGGAAGAAAAAGAGAAGCTTAAACGTAGAAGAACAAGCTTGAGGAAATGAAGAACGGAGGAGGAGAAATGTCAGCAAGATCACCAGCTACTCAACACCTAGCTCACCAAAGAAGGAAGAATCAAGCAAAAATGAGTAGGGAAATTGGGGAGAAGAGAATGAGTGAATAATGAAAGTGAGAGAAGTGAGGGAAAAACAATAAGCTACGAGTCTCACAATAACGGAACAAGCTATATAAACTAAAATATTCCCTTTGTCCCACCAAATTTTATTGATTAACGATCACTCTTATTTATCAGTGTGTTTTGGATAATTTATAAAAAATATTGTATGATTGTACCTAATATATATGTTTTAATTTATTTTTCCGAGTTCTTCAAGATGGTCTATAAGAATAGTTTATGCATTGCTTATAAAAAGACTTTTCTTCAAATCCTTACGGGGTCGATTTTTTGTTAGGTTTCTTTTCCTAAATTATTATTATTTGTTTCCCCACCTAAATCAATATAAATATTAATTTTTACACAAATAATTATAATTATTTATTGCAAGTAATGTATTTTTCTATTTTTCTTTTTATTAAAAATATAACAATTAAATAACTTCAAAATTTTATGTGTTATTAGTAATTTTATTATGTGTTATTAATATTTTTTTTATAATATAGTGTGTAGTAGTTTAATTTTTTATAATGATTTATTTTTACAATACTTACCTAATCATTCTATACTTGTAAAATTTTATATACAGTCGATTTCAATGACAATATTCTTACACAAAAGTATATAAAGTATGTTTACTTTTTTATATATAAAAATTTACAGAAAAATAAAAAGAAATTAAATTTCTTTTATAAATTAAATTAAATTTGTACACATCAGCTTTAGGAAAATTAAGATATAATTTTTTCTATGAAAATAATTGTATGAATTTTAATTTCAAGAAACCTAATTAATTTTTATCATATTATTCTATTTTTTTTTTTCTAATTGTAGGACTACTTAAAAAGATCATATAACCTCTTAGAAGTGATCCCTAACCAGACAACCAACATTGTATTAATTTGCATTTTTTAATTTTCAATGCGTACAAGTACAATGCACCAATGAGTATCGCGTGTTTTGTGTGTATACGTACGAAATACAAATTAATATTTTTTTTTTTAATATAGACAACAAAGATTTTTTATTTAAGGCACTATTTTTTTTAAAGACCTACATAGAATCAATAACAAAACTATTTAATTGAATATTTAACACAATTCTAAGACTCGAATTCAAAATTATTAATTAAACTATATCAACCTCGTATCAATTATTTTATGTGTTCGTTTTTTTTAATGTCTTTATCTTTCAGCCATGAATGTCGGCGAGAAACCTTGTAACACGATGAACAACTAAATTTCATTTAAATTGAAATCTTCCATATAAATTAATACAATTTAGGAGGATTCTATGAATGGGCAACAATTCAAACCTAGATTTTAAAATTGAGAGATATTGATGATATACATGTTTTTCAATCTCATAAACACCTTAATACTATTAATTACCTTTGACTGGTGAATATAAATGTAATAAATTCATAAACGGTTATAATTAAATGTGATAAATATAGTGTGATGTTTGGATATACATTGAATAACAACATTGTATTTTTTTAGAGATATAAATAATTAATGCTATATTAAAAAGTTAAAACAACACTTATGCTGTGACTTTTTTTTAATAATTTTTTTATACGATATACATTATAAGATCAAAGAAATTTTCAAACGAATTTGAGTAAATGTTCACAATGAATAATTGATTCTCAATCTAAAATTATATTTTAAGATAAAAAACTTTAGGTAATTTGTTAGATTGATGAAAAATTTAATAATAAGTTTACTAATAATTTACGCTTAGAAAAAAAAAATCTATCCATAAGTCACCTCACTTTAAAATAAACTTTATAAATTGATTTTATTAGATATTTCTTTTACAAACATTCACACATAATTCTTATCAAATTAGGGTTATCAAATTAGGGTAGAGGAGGAAAGACCCGAAAGCGTTATGGTTCCCCTTAATTTTTTAAAATTGTATCTAAATTATTATAAAAATATCTTTATGACCCTTTCTAAAATTTATATAAAAAATATTATAAATTGATAAATAAAAATTATTATATTAGTTTATACTTAAGAAAAAGAAAAGGAGAGAAATATATATATGAGAATTCAAACGATACCGGTGTAATTTTTATTAAGTATTACACCACTCAATAACTTTATATTAAATGTAAATTTTATAAATTCACCTGTTAGATTGAAAGTTCTTTATTATTAGATCATGTATACAAAATTTTATATTAATCCAAGATGATTTAATACTTTATTCTCATAAAGTAAAATTGACATAATATATATTTCAAAATATAATAAAAATATGAACATTTAAATTATCTTTTAGTTAGATTTACAAAATTTACATTTAATATAAAATTATTGAACGCTTTTTAACCCTTATATATATATAATAGCTATAACTAACGTTTTCTTTCCATGTTTCATCGTCAAACTATTCATCAAACCGTCAACAGAAATTTGATCATTTTTGGTCAAACAGCCTTTACATCATAAATTAATAACGCAGCACTTTGACGCATTAATTACACTTGCCCAAATATTTATACTATACAATAGTAATTAATTGTTGTTCCAATGCCAGATAAATTTGTTCCTTTAAAGAATTAATACAACCCAAAAACAATTTAACACAAAGCTCCTATAAATTGGCAGCCAAACCTCATTGCAAAGCACATTCATCCAAAAAGAAAAGAATTGGTTTCACATTTCACCGATTCAATTTTTCTAGCACGATGGCCCCTAACTCTCCCAACTCCAACAACTTCAACACTACCCTCTCTCCTCCCAACCTCACCATCCCAAACGAGGCCTTAGTGGGGAAAGGGACGGGTCAACTTGGGTTGAGTCAAAGGGTGACTGAGTGGAGAAAAACATCATTAGTTGCCAAAAATAGCAGGTGGGTTCATGGTCGTGTTGATGCAACTGAAGATGCGTGTCTAACTCCAACTTCGTTAGAGGAGGGTCACGATCACGACGCAGACAGTATCATAAGAGCAAGTCAAATGGTGAGAGCACAACTCATGCATGTAGCATCATCCTCATTTTCAAACGAGATTGTTGTGGAAACCGAGGAGAAAAAGAAAGCATGGGAGATGTTGCAAGCTCAGATTCTTCGTGCATCAGCGTTGGTTCCTAAAAACGAGGTTGTTGGTGGCACTTCAGACTCCACATCATCATTGGACATGGTCATGAGTACAACACTCACGATTGCACCACCGGTTCAGAACCGTTTTTTCTCACAGCTAGAACCAAACACTAACAATATGGGCATCATTGCCTTTTGTCCCTCTCCATCAAGTGCTTTGCAGCGCGTGGGGGAACCAGCTAACGAGGTTGATAATGTTTGTGAGAATGGAAAAGCTAGAAGATATGATGGTCGAATCCATAGCTATCCGTACAAGAAAAATGGCCCCTACACATGTCCCAAGTGCGACACTGTGTTTTATACATCACAAAAGTTTGCTGCACACGTCAGTTCGAATCACTACAAGTACGAGACGAAAAGTGAGAGAAAGCAGAGATTGTTGGCAAAAGTCCGAGGGAGAAACCTACGACTACAACAGGTAAATGATGCACTCACTATGGTTCCTATCAATGCTGTTAGTGCAAGAAACCACAACAACAACAACATTGTTGTTACTCCTTCTCCTCCTAGGGTGATTAAGGCTGAAGTAATAAGTGAGTTTGGTGCGGAGATCCCTCCTCCTCCTGGAATGGATAAAATAAATGGTGTGAAAATAAAATTGGAGCCAGTTGATACATGAGCCCAATAACTAGGTTTTAATTTCATCCTAATAGTTTTAGTGTTGTTTAATTATTATTCACAAGGTCGGGGTCAAGGTCAGTCTACAATTGTGTTTGGGTCTCATCTTTTTGTTTTTCTCTCCAGTACTTGTTCCAGTTTCTCCTTTAATAATGATTGGATTTTATGATTATCTACCTAGAAGGTTTAATTTCCAAAGTTGAATAATTTTTATCTCGTTAAATAAATGAAATTGATGATTCAATTTGCCCATGATGTACCACGCAAGTGAATTGTGTCATATATAGCTTAACCCAAAATCGGTGTCGACATTGTATTTTGGTAATTCATTCTCTATCAAATCAAGATTTTTTCCCCCTACTTATGTGTATAGATAGATAAATTGATCTAAAACATGTAACTTAATGATCAATTGAAAGGAACTAATACGTGATGTAATAATGATTTTATTCAAAGAAGAATAAAAGTTATAGCTTAAATATAGATAACAACAATTTGTACTGATTTTGAAGTATATAAACACACAACTAATTGCTTGATTTTAAAAGAAAGTGAAAGAAAAAAAAAGGAAAAAAAAAACTTGGGATGATATTTTATGTTGTTTGATAGGAGGAACTTTTTTTTTTTTGGGAAATGAACCTCTTGTTTCATTGTATAAAAACTGAAAGGAAAGAAAAATATGAATATAAAAAGACAAAAATATCTTTTAAAAAATAGATATAAATAAGAATATTTTTGTTTTTGTGTATAAAAGGCACTTCCGCTAATTGTATATAATTGCATTCATCAATTTGTTTTTGAGAAATTACATTCATCAATTCTTCATTACTTGCGAGACACAATTAACTAATTATATTCATAAGTGTAGTTAACCATGTATGATGATCAATAACTTTAAAATTAGGGCTGCGCAAAATATCTGAATTATCAAATCCAATTCATATCCACACTAACAGATCTATTATAATTCCTTTTTGATAGATTGTTTATTATTTCCAAACTAATTATAATGAATTAATTATTATTATTTTCATTTTAATTGGTAACCGGTTAATACCCATATCTATTTTTTCACAAACAAAAAATCATTATACAATCTCAAAACATCATCTTTTCTCGCTTTATAATATTCATCCCTCATTACTTATTTTTTTATTATATATTTTTGTTATTTATTTATTCACATGCTAATAACGATTAATAACATCTTCACTCACTACAAAAGTTGCTATCAACTATACTACACGTACCGACTAGAGGGGAAGAGCGAGATGTAGTGGTGTGGGACAAGACCACAAATGGGATTTTTTCTCTCAAGATTCTTTTATGAAAAATAGCTCACAATGGCTTATTCATTAATGAGAGACGGAATAGCACTATGGCATGACTACATCTGCTATACGTACGTGCCCTCTATGTGTGCATGGAGAAGAAACGATAATGCATGCGGTTCGTGATTGCGAGCAAGCCGGTACAATTTGGAATTAATTAATGTGGGGGCATTCCACGCTTGTTGGGTTCTGGTCCAAAGATTCCCCGGCTTGCGTATTGATGAACATGAAGAGTACTGGTACTTATGAGAAAAAATTCAAGTCTTACGACTAAAAATTAGATAAGTAAATAATATATAAGTGAAAAATAATTTTTATTTTACAAATCAATTTTGTAAGATTAAATTAGACTCAAATTCATTATTTTATGATAAGATAAAATCTATCCTAGATTATTAAAGAGGTCGTCCATTCTAGTTTATTACAAAAAAAAAAATGGAACATTATTTTTGTTGTTGCAATTGATGCACTGTGGCAATAAAGAAATAACTCTATTTTTAATAATGTTTAGGTTGACTCAAGAAACCTTATGTAGTAAGTTTTAGCTCGGTCAGACGAGATTATTCGCGTTTTTAATGGGTTGTTAGGAGCTATTTTGGGTTCAGCACAGATGAATACTAGCTTTAATATTAGGTGGTTTCCACTTCTAGAGAGATTTTATAAACTCAAATATGACTGGGTTGTTAGAGAAGGAGGGCCTGCTTCTTGTGGTGTGTAGTAATAAGGGACCATCATGGTGGTTTTGTGCGTGCTTTTTCAATCAATTGGGCTATCTTCAGTGATACAGACTGAATTATGGACAATTTACTATGGACTTAAGGTGGTGTGAGAGAAGGATTTTATAGGGCAAGTACTAGTTGAGTCTGACTCTTCTTTAATGTTAAGTTTTTAAATGATGGGTGTTAAAAGTATCACCCTTTTTAAGCTTTGGTAAATAGAGTGGTAAGCTTAGTAAATCAAGATTGGGATGTGATATGTAATTATATTTTTCAAAAAGTTAACCAAGTAGTTGATATTTTAGTCAAATGGGAAGGAACCATTAGTGAAGGTTTACATATCTTTGAAAAACCTCCCATGGGTTCAAATTCTCCTCCTTATTGATATTTTAGTATTGTATTTTTCTTTTTAGATTTTTAGTTTTAGGCGTTAAGCCTCTCTGGTACCAAAAGCAAAATTATGCCTACATAACAAGACAATGTGTTATATTTGTATTCTTTTATTGACTTTTATAACACATCTTTCTATTTTTTTTTTTAATGAAATGCATCTTTCCATTTTTAAAAGTTTTAAAATTAATTATAAGTATTGTAGAAAAGTAAAATATATCTTAAAAATATCTTTCATAAAATATTCATAATATAAAAAGAAAAGTAAGTAAAATTTTCAAAATAATTTAATTAGAAGATATTAATGATTTATACTCACTCGCATAACGCACCTCACAAGTGACTTAACGAAATCGGTCTTGACTTCGTATCGTGGTCATTCATTCTCTATCAAATCAAGGTTTTTGTCTCGGAATCCAAATAGAAAGTATGTCTGTGTGGATTCGTTTTCCATGTTGAGGCATGGAATATTATGATGAAAGTATACTTTTGGCTATAGCAGTTGTGTTGGGGAGACCGAATCAACGTACCTATTGTTGGTCGCATATGGTTTCAAGATCATTGATTTACGGTGGAATAGGAAAGACTACATTTAAAAAAAATTATAAGTTATGTAGTTATATGGACACATGGTAACAATCTTTATAACTTCTAAAATGGTGGAACATGAGTTTTTGGTAGAGAAACTATAGTGGTGGAAGTTGGGGGTGTGCTGACGGCTGATAGAGGTAGATTAGGAAAACCTAAATTAGCCATTATAGATAATAATGGCGTAACCATTAAAGATAATAATGGTTCAAATAATTAGGGGTCTAAAAAAATGAAACCAGTGACATGTATATACGGTGATTAGATAGTGGTTACAAAATCTCATGGACCAAAGCCAATATATAAGGAAAATGCGGCATCAAAGGGTGGGTCCATTAGAGGTGATACGGGATCGAAGATGGGGGCTTCAAATAAATTTCAAATCTTTGAAATATGGATGAGGTAAAAGAGAGTATGATAACATTTAACCAGGAAAGGGGGGAAGCAAAATAAAAGGTTGTGTCCATATATGAATTTTGGTTAGGTCACATCATTAATACGTGATTCCAAATTTAATATTTTTGCACCAAACATGCAACGTGAAAAAGGTAAGGCCACAACTCCAGTTGTCTACAAACAAGGAGAATTTGTAGAAAAACTAAGAGAGACGAGTAATACTGGTATTGGGTGAACGTAATAACTTATTGTGTTTTTTATTGAATAAGAGATGACCTTTAAATAGTCATTGTACAACGTACCAAATTAACAAGAAGATAACAAAATATCTTATCAAAACAAATCTTATCAAAAACTATCTTATCTAAACTGAAATAAATAAAACAGATAAACTAACTCGGATATCTCTAAAATTTAAGATTATCTAACAAAACTCCCCATAAGCTTAATTTTTTTTTTCATTTCGATGCCTCTTCTACCAGAGAGCGATACTCCTCCGCGTACCATGGCCCCGCGAGCCACACGACGTCCAGCACCTCTGGCGCCGCGGTGGCTGATGCCTCTTTTGGGACACAAAACGAATCGTCGATGACCATTCACAAGGGAGGATGGCAGGAACATCTATGGCAATCAGAGGGACGAAGAGAAGAAAAGAAATGATGAAACCACTGAAACGAAAAGGGAGGAGAGTAGGAAAGGGGAAGGAAAGCTGAATTGGAAAAATATGACGGATGCGGAGTACCAAGAAAGGAGGAGAAAGGGAATTTGTTTCAGATGTGAAGAAAAATACTCTCCTGGGCATGTGTGTAAAAACAAGCAAATGCAGCAATGTGAAATCTGCCAACAGAATAAGTATCAGGCCTTAATTCCTTCTGGATTATTGCATACTCACCCTAACACGTGTGGTATAATGTGTCTATGGATTTGATAGGGGACCTGTGGTTAAACAGGTCTATGTTAGGAGGGAAAAGGGGGGTAGTTAGTTATTTTTGTAACTAACTGATGACAGTCGGGTAGGGACTGTTAAATTGTATAAATAGGAGGGAATAAGGGGGAGGAAGGCATTCGGAAGTATTGTATTCTGGGAGAGATAGGCACTCTCGAATTGCCTAGTTCACTGTATTCTGTCCTTCTGGTTGTGTTGACAGCAAGGACTCAAGAGCAATAATACTACAATCTTTCGTTATTTTTCAATTCTCTCTTAATATCCAGTTGAGACCTATCAACTCGCATCGGAGCTGGTTGCGAACCTGAGGCGATCAAGAATGAAGTGATGGGCTGGGTGGGAAAGATGGAGAGATATTTCAGGTTGAAAGGCGTCTTGGAGGACGAGAAGGTGGAGGTGGCGATGGTGGCGTTGCAAGGGAAGGCGCTGGCGTGGTTTCAGTGGTGGGAAAGTAGAAATCAAAATCCCTCATGGATGGATTTCAAAGGTTCGTTGCTGAGAAGATTTCAGCCCGTGGTGGCACAAAACCCTTTTGAGGTGCTGTTGGGCCTTAAGCAGCGTGGCTGAGTATAGGGAGAAATTTGACACCAATTCAGGACCTCTCAAGATTGGGGATGCAAATTATTTGAAGGGCATTTTCTTGAATGGTCTCAAGGAGGAGGTTAAAGCGGAATTGAGGTTGCATCAACCTAATTCGTTGGAGGAAATTATGGACTTGGCTCTTTTG